AAGAAACTTAAAATGTTTATGTGTTTGATAAAACTATATATGCTTGATGATCATTGTTTAAAGATAGAAAACATATATGACATATGAACTTAAAAAAATAGGAGTTGTTTTAAAAACATCTTTAGGTTGCTTCTAAAAGCACCCTTTAAAACAGAAGCAGTTTTAATGAGTACGCTAAAAAAGTTTCACCAAACATAATTATTGGTTGCTTCATGAAAAAAATAAAATAAAAACAGCAAACACTCTTAAAAAAAACAGTCAATTACCAAAGGTGACCCTAATTCTCTATAAACGTAACTAACTCTATGTTTTGGTTCTTTTATATATACGTTATAAATATATAAATATATATATTATATATATATATATTATACTATATATATATATAATATATATAATATATAATTACTCACTCCTAATGCGTAGCGTGTTTGGCCTAGAATCGGAGACTTCAGCAATGATGGAGGCATGCGGCCAATCCCCGTGGCAGTGGAAAGCGCGCACATGTGCATGCGCTTCGAAGACGTTAGTAGGGCGAGTGCTTCTCAACCGCAACGCCTCATCGGCGCTAGATACTACCTCAAAGGCTACGAACGGCCAGTTCGCGACCCCTCAACACCAGCGCCGAGCGAGTACCGCTCCCAAGGCCGACGACTAGAGTCACGGCCGCTCCACACGGCCTCTATAGCAGCTGGGCGGTCCCCGGCCGCGTGCCGCTGCCCAGCTACTTACCTTGGGCTGGCCTGGCCTCGAGCGGCACGGCCTCGCGCGTGGCCGCCACCTCGCCGGCTAGGCTGGCAGTTGTGACAAAGACGCTGCTAGAGTTCGGCACTGGCCCGACTCCAAGGCTGTGCACGAGGCATAAGACATTATGGCTGCTTACGGACGCAGCCGCACTTCAGCGAGGGGTCCACGTTCATCTCTGCGCTCCATACGCCGGTCACAGCTGCCTCTCAGGCAGTTGCTTCGCTCTAGCGCCAGCATCGCATCCTCCACGCCATTGCCAGCTGGGCGTACCGTGGTACTTTCTCTGCGGGCCAACAAGCGCCGGAGTTCCTCCATGTGTGACGCAGAACGTAGGTCACCCGTGAGCATATTGTGTCCGCTGCTGGGACCATCGCACTGCGACCTACCCCACACCGTTACTGTTGGCGCGATTTCTATCTCTCACCGGCCTCATCCCAATTAAAACTTAATTTTATATATATACTATTTATATATATATGTATATATATATATCAATATAATAATATATATATATACTATATATATATATATATATATATATTATTATATTATATATATCGCCTTAGATAATCATCTAAGGACGCGGCCTAAAATCAAATGATTGAGCTACATTGTGGATGATCCGCTCCGTTGAACTTGATCTACATATTCTAAAACCCCAACACACCAAGTTTGGGATGAACTCGTCGTCGTTTGGTCCTTCATCCACTCGTATCAATTTTAACGATTTTGAATGAATAGAACTTTTTACATGACTCGACTGAGGGTCAAACGACGATAGGTTTACCCCAAACTTGGTGTGTTGGGGCTTTAGAATATATAAATCACGTTTAACGGAGCGGATCATCCACAATATAGCTCAATCTTGTAATTTTAGGCCGCGTCCTTAGATGATTATCTAAGGCGTCACCTTAGAAACATTTTTTCAATATATATATATACTAGTTTGCGGTCCGTGCAAAGCACAGTATTTTTTTTTTGCTACAGTAATCCCGCTTTTTTAATATGGCATGATTTAAATTTTTGGAAGTGCTACAGTATCCTGCTCTGCTACAGTACCTTCTAAATGTTACAGTATACCCGTACGCTACAGTAATATTATTACTTAATTATTAGCTACAGTAATAATGCTACAGTAAATGCTACTGTAGCGTTTACTGTAGCATGAACAGTAAATCTCTGATCCTCCTATTTGTATAAAGAAATATATATATATATCTCATGTGGGGCCCGGTGCACTGTAGCAAATGAGAGAGGGGGTGTGGTTGGAGGTGTGGTTGGGGGTGTGTCCCTATCATTTTCCATAATAAATTAGTAAAAAGGAGAAATTCTTAAGTGCTCCTTAGGCATACACCCCCCATATGTATAAGAGGAAGGTTGTAGCCCAAGAAAAAAACTATTTAAGTTCATTATCTTCTCAAATATAAGTAGATAGGTAGCATTTTCTTATTGGTATGTTGTACTGCTTATGGAGCATCTAAAAATTTTTCGGTAATTAAAAAGACCTTGCATCAGTTAAATCCATGCGTAGCTAAAGTATACCCTTTATTTGAGTTGCTTGTGCACGTACGTATTACATACAGGGGGAAGGCTTTATCAGCAAGAGGATGAGGATGATGAGACTGGTGGATGGTCGTAGATTTTTCAGCTCTGGGTACAATAGTTAAAGAAATATTAATTTAAGTTTCTTTGAAATCTCATGATCTACATATATACTAATCGATGTTTTATCTTTTGGTTAATATATAAATATTTGTTTTGAATGAATGAAGGTCATGCTCACTGGAGCAGTGGAATGGCCGGAAGATGCCACCGGCAGCGGTGGTACTGTGCTTCTCCACCGTACTGCAGGTTCCCAGCACAGTTGCAGCCATTTCCGTGTGGAGACTCAATGCTTCTGCCCTCATTTTTGCGGAACCCTCCACTCGGCTGATGCCTCAAGATGATCTGCTCCCAACTGTCCATGTGGATCTCATTCAAGCCACTCAAATCCTCAACTACATCAAATCTTCCAAGTATATATACTATATATATAATGTCTCTGCATATGTACATAGTATACGGCTGCTAACACGTACTCATGCTTTAAATTTCTAGCTCAGCTCTCCACTAAACTTAAGCATTAACCCCTATAAACGACCATAACCATGCACGTTCAATGGAGTTTGGGTTAACAGGAGGGCTCCTGCTCCACGCTCCTCCTCCGTGATCCTCCTTTGCCCTCCTCCCTATTATATACCCCTATATTTTTTAAATGGGCACTTCAGTGCAATCTTTTGTTGTGTATGCAACATGAGAATATTCTTTGATATATTCCTGTGTGACCTGACATATGCTAATTTTAAAACTTTGTAACATTTTGTCAAGTTAATTTATTATTATATATCTATCCAAATTCTATTTTAAATCTTCTACAATATATTATTTTAAAGTAGTAGTTTCAATAAGCATTAAAGACTAGAAGTTCTAAAATATGTGAGTGTCACGTGAGAATATTCATGGTATATTCTCACTTTTGTGAAAGTAAAATCTTTGTTGGAAAAATCATTCTGCATAAAGGAGGTTAAAAAATTTCATGTTGCGCAGAGTTTGCAAAATCATATCCATCATCATTGATAGACTCCACAGATGTTGAATATGAAAACTGTATTTTTACATTTGAGATAGTGTATGGTGGAGATGACAAGCCCATGACATTAAATGCACATCCAAAGAATTGTTAGATCTGGGCACAAATCTGAAAATCTAATGATGTAATGGTTGACTTTATTTGAATGCACATTTGATACCCGAAAGATGAGGGGGGATGAATAGTAAGTGGGTCCCTATAATTTCTTCTATTTTCTATCTTTACCTCATCTCTCACTATGTGTTATTCTCTAATGAGTGCCAATGGAAACTGTTAGAAAGACTCTATGAAGAAACAAATTTGATACTTACTTACATGCTACTAATTTGTCTTTTGAAGCAATCCTACAATAGATGTCTTTCCAAGCAAATGGCGGTTGGGTCGCTCTCCTGCACCTTCTGTTGCTTACTTCTCTTCGAGAGGGCCAAGTTCTGTATTTCCAAGCATCTTAAAGGTAGTACTTATAATTAAACTATATAATCTTTGTAAATATAGTAAAAATAAAAATAAAAATAAAAAAAAAATTGGGTCTTTAGCATGTATATATAGTACTAGTTACTAGCTATATACTCTCAGATATATATAGTAATATAGTACTATGTTCGGTATATATTGATATAGATTAATCTACTAGTATAATATAGTATATATATATCCTGCTGTTGCTGTGGTGTGTGTGTTGTGTGTGTTGTGTGTGTGGTGTGGTGTGTTGTGTGTGTCGTGGTGTGTGTGTGCGTGTGTAGTGTGTGTGCGCGTGCACACGTGTCTCTAGCAATTACCTGTAATCTCAATTTATCCTCTCTTTTTCTTTTTTGAGAAAAATTACAATTATCCTCTTTATTTTCATATTTGGAAATTTATCTTGTCCGGTGCGATTTGATCACCCAAATTATACCCTTTAATGTTAATGTTAAGAAATATTTTTTAAAATAAAAATTTCTCTTCCATCTCTTAATTTTCGAACTACTTCTTCATCTACAATGCTGGTTTTTGGGTGTAGACCCAAACCATAGAACAAGCACATAAAGCAAAAATTTGCTAAGTGATGAGATCAGGCGAACTCAAGCTTCAGGCGAGCTCTAGCATGTCAGACGAACTTGACATGCAGGAAAGCTCAAGCAGCAGTGCAGGCGAGCTCAAGCTGTAGGTGCAGGCGAGCTCAAGTGTAGGTGAAGATGTCCAGGCGAGCTTGACTATGTTTAGGCAAACATGGGTCATGTAGGCGAGTTTCGCAGTCAGGAGAGCCTCGCAGATATGCAGGCGAACTCGCTAAAGAGGACAAATGAAAGTTGTCCATTTGACCTAGGGTTTCCTTATAAAAGGGAACCCCGTTCACGAAAAAAGCTGAGTCTTTTGCTCAACGATTTGCAGAAGCCTAGCGGTGGCTTTGAGAAGCTCCTATAGTGGAGAAGAGAGAGAGCTTGAGCAGAGATTTTTTAGAAGAAAAATCTCATGAGTTCCTGTAGCTATTCTACAACAACGAGTTTATTGATTGGGAGATTTCAAGGAGTTTGAGATATGCTCTTTGCAAGCTTTGTAATTTTTTTGAGTAATAAAGAAATATATTGTGTGGCTCCCGAGAACGTAGGCAAGTTTGCCGAACCTCATTTAACTTGATGTTCTTTCTCTATTGTTCTTGTTTTCTCTTTCCTTGCTGCCATTAGGGGTCGAGTCTCCCAAAAACTGGTATCAGAGCACAGAAATAATTCTAAGGAAGTCAGGTTCAAGTAGGAGCGATGACCGCAGATGAAGGAAAGGTGAAACTAGAGAAGTTTAATGATACAGATTTTGAGTTTTAGAAAATGCAGATACAGGATGATCTGTACTAAAAGAATCTATATCAACCTCTCTCGAGGAAGAAGCTGAAGTCTATAAAGGAAGAAGAGTGAAATCTTCTAGATAGACAAGCTCTTGAAGTTATTCGATTGACGCTAACTCACAATGTTTCTTTTAACATTGCAAAGAAAAAGACAACGATGGGTCTTATGGTAGCAATTTCTAATATTTATGAGAAGCCATTAGCCTCAAACAAAGTTCACTTGATGACGTGTTTGTTCAATCTATGAATGATGGAACACGCATCAGTAGCACAACATCTCATTGAACTCAATACAGTCACAACCCAACTGAGTTCAGTTAAAATTGAGTTTGATGAAGAAGTACGAGCATTGATACTTTTGTCTTCCCTATCAGAAAACTAGATTGCTACAGTCATAACGGTTAGTAGCTTGTCAGGAAGCAATAATAAGTTAAAGTTTGATGATGTTCGTAATCTGGTTCTCAGTGAAGAGATCCGACGGAGAGAGTCAGATGAATCATCAACCTCTTCGGTATTGCATACAGAGTCAAGAGGAAGAAATTCAATCAGAGGGAACGAACGAGGCAGAATAAACTATCGAGGTAGATCAAAGGATAGAAGATCCAAATCCAGGAATCCTAATTGCTCAAAGACCATTAAGTGTTGGAATTGTGGGAAAACCGGGTCATTACAAAAATTAGTGCAAGAGTGCACAGAGGATAAGGAGGCAAAGGCAGAGGTGAATGTTACTTCTACCTTAGGGGAAGATGATGCATTGATATGCTCTTTAGAGAGCAAGGAGCAATCTTGGGTGTCAGATTCGGGAGCATCATTTCATGCTACTTCGTAGAAAGAATTCTTCGAGAAGTATGTCTCCAAAAATCTTAGATATGTATATCTCGGTGATGATCAATCATGTGCTATTGTAGGTAAAGGTGTAGTGAAAATTAAGTTGAACCAGTCAGTATGGGAGCTGAAGGATGTCAGATATATTCTCGATTTGAGAAAGTACTTAATCTCAGTAGGCCAGCTGGCTAGCGAATGCTACACTATGACCTTCCATAGTGATAATTGGAGAATCTTAAAAGGCACAATGATGATTGCTCGAGGCAAAAAAGTGGTACTCTTTACATGACAGCAGATGCATATTGTTTGACCCCAGTTGTAGTAGGCAATGAGACTTTAAATTTGTGGCACCAGGGACTTAGTCACGTGAGTGAGAAGGAGATGAAGATTATTCACACAAAAGGAAAACTATCAGGTTTACAGTCAATGGAGATAGACATGTGCTAAGATTGCATACTTGGAAAGAAGAAGAGGGTTAGCTTTCAGACAAGTGGCAGAACCCTAAAGAAGGAAATGCTAGAGCTCATTCACTCAGACGTTTGGGGACCAACAACCACCTCATATATTAGTGGGAAACACTACTTCGTAACTTTCATCGATGATCACTCTCAGAAGGTATGAATTTACTTTCTGAAGCAGAAGTCTGAAATATTTGAGGCATTTAGGAGATGGAAAGCTATGGTTGAGAATGAGACAGGTCTGAGGATAAAAAGGCTCAGGACTGATAACGATGGTGAATATGAAGATACCGGATTTAAGAAGTTTTGCTATGAGCATAGGATCAGAATGGAGAGAACCATGCCTGACACACCTTAGCACAATGGTGTAACTGAGTGTACGAACCAAATGTTAACAGAAAGAGCCAAAAGCATGCGTATACAGTCAGGTCTACCGAAGAAGTTTTAGGCAGAAGCAGTCAACAAAGCATCTTACTTGATCAACCGAGGACCATCAGTTCCATTGGATCACAGAATACCAGATAAGGTATAGAGTGGGAAAAAGGTAAGACTATCACATCTGAAAGTTTTCGGTTGTGTAGCTTATATGCATATCAATGATCAAGACAAGAATAAGCTTGATCACAAATCCAAGAAATGCACCATCATCGACTATGGTGAAGATGGGTTTGACTACCGTATTTGGGACAATAAAAATAAAAAAGTGATCCGTAGCAGATATGTGATTTTCAACGAAAAGGTGATGTATAAGGGCATGCATAAAGCAGATGTCAGTGACTCAGAGCAGAATGAGTCAATATTTGCAGATGTGGATGATGTCCTAAATAGTCCCGCACAGGAACCAAATGCAACAAGTCCTGAGCAAGAAGAACTCGTTGAACAAAGTGGTGCGCAGCAGTCCGACACACCATAGTCTCCTACCCTAGCTCCTATATTAAGAAGATCTTCTCGGCCTCCTGTGCTTAATAGGAGATACATGAACTATCTATTGCTAACAGATGGAGGGGAGTCTGAATGCTATGATGAAGCTTGTCAGACTAAAAATGCAAGCAAGTAGGATCTTGCTATGAAAGAAGATATGAAGTCTCTGATCTCCAACCAGATATGGAAACTAGCTGAGTTACCCATAGGGAAGAAGACACTTCACAACAAATGGGTGTATTGGGTGAAAGAGGAGCAGGATGGTTCTAAGAGATACAAAGTCTGACTAGTTATCAAAGGATTCCAGCAGACGGAAGGAGTTGACTATACTGACATTTTTGCTCCTGTTATGAAGCTCAATACTATCAGAATAATGTTGAGCATTGTAGCTATTGAAGATCTTCATCTTGAGTAATTGGACGTGAAGACCGTGTTTCTTCATGAAGATTTAGATGAAGAGATATACATGCACCAACCAAAAGATTTTTCTAGAAGAAAAGAAGAAGAACCTAGTGTGCAGACTCAAGAAGAATTTGTATGGCTTAAAACAAGCCACAAGACAGTGGTACAGAAAGTTCGATGGTTTTATGCATAAGGAAGGTTTCTAGAAGTGTAATGCCGACCACTGTTGTTACTTCAAGAGATATAAATTTAGTTATATCATCTTACTACTGTATATTGATAATATGTTAGTTGCAGATGTAGGTATGGATGATATCAGAAGGTTGAAGTAGCAGTTGTCAAAGGAGTTTGACATGAAGTACTTGGGTCTAGCTAAGAAGATCCTTAGAATGCAAATCACGAGAGATAAGAAGAAAGGGTTCTTGTAATTATCTTAGATAGAGTACATCAACCGTGTTTTGCAGATTCAACATGGACGATGCCAATGTCGTCAGCACACCATTGACCAGTCATTTTTGCCTATTAAAAGATCAGTCTTCTCAGACGGAGGAAGAGAAATATTTCATGGCTAAGGTTCCTTACGCCACAGCCATCGGGAGTTTGATGTACACTATGGTCTGTATGAGACCAGACATTAGCCATATAGAGGGAGTTGTCAGCCAGTTTATGTCAAATTCAAGGAAAGCTCATTGGGAAGCAGTCAAGTGGATTTTGAGATATCTACGAGGCACCACAGAAAAGTGTTTGTACTTTGGTAAGGGAGAATTAAAAGTACAAGGCTACGTAGGCGCAGACTTTGGAGTTGAAGTTGATCACCGAAGAAGCACTACCGGCTATATATTCACTATCGGAACTACAACAGTTAGTTAGATGTCATAGGTATAGAAGATTGTCATTCTATCCACTACAGAGGTTGAGTATGTAGCAATCAATGAAGCCAGTAAAGAGATAATATGACTTTAATGTTTGTTAACTGAGTTTGGATTCAAACAGGAGAGGAATGTCTTGCATAGTGATAGTCAAAATGCGATACACTTGGCAAATAATTCAGAATTTCATTCCAGAACAAAGCATATTGGGCTTCATTACCATTTCATCATATCCATATTGGAAGATGATGTGTTAACACTGGAGAATATCCAAGAAAGTAAGAATCCAGCGGATATGTTAACAAAAGCAGTGACTATTCAGAAACTGGAGTTGTGCATAACTTCAGTTGACCTTCATACGTAGAAGATGAGGGCGGAGCCACACTATGAGAAAGTGATTTTCCAGATAGGAGAAGATGCTTGTTAATATAGCTTGTTGATGACGGTTTGATCTCCAAGTGGGAGATTGTTGGTTTTGGGGTGTAGACCTAAACCTTGGAACAAGCACACAAAGCGAAAATTCACTAAGTGATGAGATCAGGCGAACTCAAGTTTTAGGCGAGCTCTGGCATGTCAGATGAACTTAACATGCATGCAAAGTAGTGCAGTCATGCTCAAACAGCAGTACAGGCGAGATCAAGCTGCAATGCAGGCGAGTTCAAGGTGCAGGTGCAAGCAAGCTCAAGTGTAGACGAAGATATCCAGGCGAGCTTGACTATGTTCAGGCGAACATGAGTCATGTAGGCGAGCTTCGCAGTCACGCCACCCTTGCAGTCATGCAGGCGAACTCGCAGAAGAGGACAAATGACAACATGTTATTTGACCTAGGGTTTCCCTATAAAAGGGAACCCTGTTCATAGGAAAAGCTAAGTCTTTTTCTCAGCGATTTGCAGAAGCCTGGCAGTGGCTTTGAGAAGCTGCTGTAGCAGACAAGAGAGAGAGCTTGAACAGAGATTTTTCAGAAGAAAAATCTCATGCGTTCCTATAGCTATTCTACAGCAACGAGTTTATTGATTGAGAGATCTCAAGGAGTTTGAGATCTGCTCTTTGCAATCTTTGTAATTTTTTTGAGTAATAAAGAAAATTGTGTGGCTCCCGAGGACGTAGGCAAGTTTACCAAACCTCGTTAGACTTGGTGTTCTTTCTCTATTTTTCTTGTTTTCTCTTTCCTTGCTGCCATTAGGGGCTGAGTCTCCCAACATAGCATACCTTAGCAGGAGGGATACTGTTTGGGGTCTAACTGCAGATTTGAGTAGTGCTTTACTAGTTGCTTGTATGATTATGTACTCATGAGCGATGTTGACAATAACAAACCGTTTATTGCAGCCCGACATTGCTGCACCTGGAGTCAATATCTTAGCAGCATGGTCCCCCAAAGCTCCGCCTACATTGATCCCGCGGCTCGACAATCGCTCCGTGGCCTGGAATTTTCAGTCTGGAACTTCCATGTCGTGTCCTCACGTAGCGGGCGTCGTAGCACTCCTCAAGTCAGCTCACCCTCATTGGTCTCCTGCTGCTATCAGATCAGCTCTCATGACTACAGCAGTCATGGCTGACACGAGCTCAGACACAATCTTAGCCGGAGGAACCTTAAAAGCGGCGGATCCCTTTGACATCGGGGCGGGACACATGGATCCGTTGAAGGCAATGGATCCTGGACTCATCTATGACATGGATACTCAAGACTACATACTCTTCCTCTGTAGCATCGGCTACACGGAGGCCCAGATACGCAAGATTGTTCTCCCTAATATTTCTCCCATTAACATCAATACAAGCTGCAGCGAAGTCTATTCAGATCCGGACCTCAACTACCCAGCAATCGTCATATCAGATCTTCACACAGCTCTTACCGTCCAAAGGACTGTAACAAATGTCGGGTCAGGCGCAGCAATTTATTTCGCGAGAGTGGTGAGTCCTCAGGGAGTGCATGTGTCGATATCGCCCCACTGTTTGGTATTTTTCGGTGAAGGAGAGAAGATTTCATATGAAGTTACGGTCATCCCGTTGAAAAGGTCAGGGGGGAGGTATGATTTTGGGGAGATAGCGTGGTCCGACGGCTACCATCGAGTTCGGATTCCACTTGTAGTGAGGGTGAGTACTCATTTCGCTATCGGTGGTGGATCAGAATCAGATGAAGCCGGCATAACTAACTACATCCAGCTCCAGTAGTAGTACTGTCTACCTCAAGTATATATCTTTTACTTGCTGTGGGAGTCACAGCTATATATAGCAATATTAATTGTCAAGTTGTTAAACTAGTTTTTGCTATGTGCTTAATCTTGGAGTACTGATAAATGAACGAGCTATAAGCCGTCAGAACGTTTCATCGCAGTCCTACACTCTACATCTAGCTCCGTATGCTTCATATAGCCACTGGTCTCGTATCGCCTGTTTAATTTACTTTCTTTTGTTTTTGCATTCATAAAGAATTTTTTCAACGTAACATGCGCTTCTTATGTTTTATTTCTTTTAAATTTACACATTAATTGATAAATCGCAAATTAACATTTTAACTCACACGAATATAGGAAAAATATGGGTATCATTGGCACCAAAATCTGAATGTGTTCTGTGGTACTAAACTGTAAATCCATTCATCTATTAGGCGAGTAATCAAGTGAAGACTATTTTCAAGTTGAGACTTTAAGTATGTGGATGAGAAATATACACCTCAATATCAAGATTAGAGTTCTCAGTCAAAATTGAATTTAAAATTTAGGTGTTTTTGCGTATATTCCTCTCGAATTATTAAATATTGTATATACGAATACTTGTTTGGTCCCACATCGGGTAGAGTTGCACATCAATTCTATTTACATTGTATATATAGATTATCATATCAATGAAGAAGGGAATCATTTTCTCTCCAATCGCTTTACATTTATCATGGTATCAGAGCCACCCAATCAACCACCTCCTCAAATCTCAGCCATACAATTTCCTCACGTGCATCACATAACAAATCTTTGACCACTATCCCAACAAGCCCTAACCGTAGCCGCTAACCCTAGTCGCCAACCCTAGCCCACCGCCGCTCGAAGTTTGTCCACCGCCAGCCACCGGTCGATGGTCCTCCGCACCGTTCACACTCTGCTCGAGCAAGTGGCACTACAACACCACATCGCCCATCCCGTCTGCACTATAGCGCCGCACTGCTCAACCAGATGCTGCACCATCTCTCGACCGCTCGATCCAACACTACACCACTCAACTAGATCCGCACCACGTGCCACAACTGCCAGAACCACTTGAACACTCCGCACTGTCGCTCGCACATCCAAGCCAGATCTACGCCAACGCACTGCATCGCTCGACCACACGAGCGAAATCCGCATCGCATCACCACTACCGCTTGACCACTCGAGCCAACTCGGCATTGCAACTCACACAATCATCGGTCGACTTAGCACTGTCGACTCAGCACCAACATCATTGGTCAGTGAACTCCTATGCCTCAAGGGTTGCCCACTGTCGCCGATCCCACAAATTCTGATGCCCCGTGCACATCCCCATCAATCAACAACTCAAGTTATGCATACTTGATTCCTTCAGCCAATCCAACTTTATATCACAAACATGACCACATAGGAAATTCACTTCCACTAACAATCCATTGATGTTAAACTCGATGGTGACAACTACTGCCTCTGGTCCTACTCTCTACGAGTTATACTTCACAGTCGTGGCCTTTGGGGATTGTAGGTTGTCAAAAAAATTACTACAACATGATCATCATGATTTTAATCACCCCTGTGTTTCTTAGTAATGTGAGTTATAAGTTGATGACTCTCATACTTCAAAAAGCCAAATGCAAAGATTACAAATGGTAATCTTTGCAGAACTTGAAAAAGAGATTACAATTAATGATCTCTTCAAAACAAAACACGAGGGTCCACCCCTGCGGTCCAACTCTAAACGTGGGGCTCACCCATGCATTCCAACTCTAAACGCGAGGCTCACCCCAACGTTTCAAAAGCTAAATAGGAGGCTCACCTTTGTGTATTGAAGCTACAACACGAGGGTAACCCCCGCATTTCAAAGTTAAAACGCGAGGGTCACCACGCGTTTCAACTCTAAAACGCGAGGGTCACCCCCGTGTTCCCACTCTAAAACGCGAGGATCACCCCTGCATTCTGACTCTTAGACGCGAGGGTCAACCTCCGTGTTTCAGAAGCCAAACGCGAGGCTCACCTCCGCGTTTCAAAAGCTAAAACGCGAGGCTCACTCCCAAACGCGAACCTCGTGTTTGACAATTTCAAACACGATTTGAATGGTTTCAAAACCGTTTTCCACACAATAGGGGCCATTAAGCCCCTATTATGGAGCGAATTAAGGGGTCAGTTACACCCCTTAAACCCTATAAATAGCTGTGTTTACAGCTGAAACAAGGGGGAACCTTTAGAGCCTTTTTGGAGAGCCTTTTGAAGAGGCTTTGGAGCTTTTGGAGCTTGGGGAAAAACCCTAGAAAGAGAGCGGCGCTTAGAACTGATCTCAGGGGTTTCTATCTCCCTTCAATCAAAATGGGACAACTGATCCTTGCAAAACACCAACGATGAAATTTTCAATCTGATGACTTTATCAATAACAAACGAGAGTTACAACTTGACGACTCTCACATCTTCAGAAGCCAGGAAACAAGGGTCACAAGATGACGACCTGTGTACTCTGAGAAGACTTAATGCAGAGGTGACACAGAGATTACAAATTAATAATCTTTGCGTCTCCGAAGTCAAATGTGACCTTCGCGTTTCATCAACCAAACACGGAGGTCGACACCTGTGTTCCAATTCTAAACACGGAGCTCACCCCCGCGTTTCACAGAGCTGAATGTGAGGCTTTCTCCTGAACACGAACCTCACATTTGACTGATTTGAACAGTTTCAAAACTGGTTTTCCACATAATAGGGCCATTAAGCCCCCATTATAGAGTGAATTAAGGGGTCCGTTACACCCCTTAGACCCTATAAATAGCTGAGAATTCATCTAAAATCAGGTCAGCTCTTTTGGGATCTTGAGATTTTTTGGCTTGATTAAGGCTTTTGTTAAGGCTTTTGTTGGATCTTTGGAGCTTTTGGCTTGGCTTTTTGAACCATTCTAGGTTGAATAACTTTGAGATCGGCTATTTAGCTCATGTCTTTTAAAAGGGATTGATTTACTTTCTAAAATTAACTCTTTCACAGAGTTCTTAACTCGACCAGAGTTCTAAACTTGCATCGCAAGTTCTTCAAAGATATTAAGTCAAGAAGAGTAGACGACGTCCCACGAAGCAAAGTGCTCGGATTGTCAATGAGATACAAGATTCAAACTCCCACCGTCACCAAGAAGGACCTAGTTTTAAACAAAGGAAAGAATCTTTGTTAATTCATTCTCTCTTTTGTAAATCGGGAAATCGATAAGAAAATTTATAATTTATTTTTCTAAGTCAGTTAGAGAGAGATTACTTTGAGAGATTGTATTTATTCTTTTCCTAAGTCAATTAGGGAGATTAATAAAAAGTTATTTCTCAATCTTCTTTAATTTTTCCTGTAAACAAAAGATGGAGACTTCGTTGGGGACTAACTTTTTCACCGATAAAAAAGTGGTGGTGCAATCCGACACCAAGCTCGCCAGAACGATCATCGAAGCTCTAACCGTTGAGTTCGACCAAGCCAAGTATGATGAGTTTCTCTCCTCCGGATCCCTTAGCCCCTAAACTATGCGCAAGATCCGCAAATTCTCCAAGGACACTAGGATTCCTCCTATTGTCGACTCACCGAAGGAGTGGCTCTCCTTTGGATCACGTTATTCACACAGTCCTTCTTCAAAAGGAGAAGACTTAGCTCTAACTAAACTCGTCAATCGAGTTAGAGGCCCTACACCCGTGCCTAAATAAAAGGTATCGGGTCACAAGAGGCCCATTGCTGTGACTAACCTGATCAGTATAGATGGTGACGTCCCTGTAAAAGTATTAAATCAGGCGAAGAAGAACGCTGCTCGACGAAGGAGAAGATCCTTACGACGAGCACAACTTTGAGAAAGCCGATCCTCCAACCAACGCGAGCTCTGCGTATGTGAGCCTCAACGCGACCCTGAGCTTCTCGTTTCTACTTTAGAATGCGAGCCTCACGTTTATGTACCAAAATACAAGCCTCACGAAAGCCAGGCTGAATGCGACCCTCAATGGTGCATTTCATAAGCAAAACGCGGACCTCAGGTCCGCGTTGAACGCAAACCTCACCTTCGCGTTGATCAAGCAAAACACGAACCTCACATTCAGAAGAGTGTTGCACACGACCCTCGTGTGCCCACTCTCAAACGCGACCCCCACATTGCCCAACTTCAACGCGAGTCTCACCTTCGCGTTCCACAGCTTGAACGTGGAGGTCAACTCCGCATTGAACGTGAGTGTTAGCTCCGCGCCGCCCAGCTCAAATGCAAAGAAGCAGAATGTGACCCTCATGTTTCCCTCACACAACGCGAGCTTCGCACTCCTTCTCCTTAACGCGACCCTCACGTTTCAGTAATAAAACACAACTCATGTGTTATTAATAGTAAACACGATGTGATCCGTCGTGTTCAAAGGATGAATAGGGATTCAAGATCCATGTTTACCAGGAGCCAAGCCCATCCAATCATAGACAGAGGGTTCCAATTCAAACCTCACATTCAGTGAGTAACCCCTCTCGAGTCTCTGCAACAGATTTGAGAGAGTTCATATCAAGAGAAAGATCGGGACAACGAGTCACTCGTTCATATCAATGTGGATGACTGATATCTACGGTCATCTCGGGATGTCAATACTACTCACATGCGGCCAAGCCATCAGTATTCAGCCAACTGACGAACGTCGCCTTACCAAACCCGTACAAGCGACGACATCACCATAAAAAGATGACTTCGAAAGAAGAATACTTTGGAGTCACTTCTAACATGGTGAGTATAGGGAGATCATCAATCCCTAGATCCGATGAGTCAGAGAAGGATCAGTCCCCTAGCTTGAAAGAGACTGTGAGTGAGTCTGATGGAATCTATCAGCACACTCGGACTAGAAAGGGGGTCATACCTCCTGTCAAATATCGGAAGTTGGCTAAAGGAATTAGGTCTGATGATAAAAACTTAGCCATCACAGAATCTTAATTCTCTAGCTCTTCTGTAGAACATAAGAGCTCCGCTTATATGGTGGGAAACCCTAGAAATCTCGTGAAAAGACTTGATGAGCAACAAGCCATGCTCAAATCTCAGCAGGATACTGAAAGTACCCTAGAAGGGGTGAATAGGGTAATTGCTAATCTTATCCGATTTAGATGCCAAATTAAAACTTTACTAAGAATATCCTAGCAATTATGATATACAACAAATTAAATGCAAGGATAAGCAAATAACCAATAGGCGATATAAACAATGAGACAATAATAGTACGCCAATAATAAATGCAAACACAAGGATATGATCATGGAGTTCGGTCAATCCTCAACCTACGTCTC